TCTGGAAAAGGTGATCCTGTGGCACTGGCGCACCCACGAGGTGCCGGACGGGGTGCACGGATACGTGCCAGGCCGTTCGACAGTCACTGGAATCAAAGCGATGAGGGACTGGATAGAGGGGGGGCTGAAACGATGCCGCCAAGGCTTCACAGGCATGCTATTGGAAGACGTCACGGGAGCTTTCGACCACTGCCGCTGGCAGAATGTCGAAGCAGCGGTGAACACGCGCGTTGGCGCTCAATGGACACAGTTGGTTAAATCCTTCCTCCAGGGCAGGGTAGTCACCCTAGTGAGCAGCAGCGGAGAGCATGCCACTCGCCTAAGGACGAAAGGGGTGAGCCAGGGGTCGGGGCTGTCGCCAAGATTGTTCGTACTGGATTCGTGCGGGATGGTAGACGAGATTAAGAAGGCCCACCAGGAAGACGCGGATAACCCAGATGCTCCGCAGTACGACATCAAGGTCGTTATCTACGCCGACGACCTGTGCGTCGGAGTCAAGAGCGACAGCATCGATGGACTGGTGTACGGCATTACGAGGGCAAGGCAGGCTGCGAAGGCATGGTCAGAAAGGGAAGGCTTCAGCCTGGCGGAGGCCAAGGAAGAGCTCTGGGTGGGCGGAGGGGACCTCACGAGATCCCTTATCGGCGACCGATTGCCTGAACTGCGAGGAAAGATGAAGGAGGAGGTTAAATGGCTAGGACTGACCATGAAGAGCTCGCCGAAAGGGGGAATCTGCTTCAGGAGGCAGGCCGAAAGGTCACTGGAAGAAGCTGGTAAGGCGCTGAAGAGGTATACGCCGCTCTGTCGACGGCAGTTTGGCTTATCCGAGGCAGTGCTGGAGGGACTGTGGCATAGGGTGATTATCCCGAAAGCCTGCTATGGGGCTGAACTATGGGGGCATCAGGCACGGTACGCCTGGTTTGCGAAGAAGGCCGAAAGCCTCAGACATGCAGCGGGCAGACTGATGTGGCGGGCACTCGGTTCAACGCCAGGAATACTGATGGCACGGGTGATGGAGTGGAAGAGGATGGATCATGCGGTGGTCGAGAGATTCGCAAAGGCAACTCTGTACAAAACGGGGTGGCGACTGGAGGACAAGGATGCCAAATGGCTCTCACAGTACGCGGGGGACGTGCTCAGGAATCGGCAGCCGGACAGGGAACAGGTGGCACCAGAGGGCAGGGTTATTGAGATAGATGGAGGAGGGAGCCCGACGCCAGAGGAGGGGTGTGTACAGTACTATACGGACGGGAGCCGCAAGGAGTGCACCAAGGGACGGCCGAGGGGCGGACGGATTGCGACATGCGCCCGTGTAGGGTGCGGGGTGGCAGAGATCGGCCCGCAAGGAGAGTTGGTATGGACAGGTTCTCATCGACTGCCGGACTGGTGTACCGTGTATCAAAGCGAGTCGAAG